GATCCCTGTTCTACGTGCTTGTGACAGAGCCAAAAAACAGGCACCAGCCCTGTGTGGGAGCTCTGTCTATCTCCTGCAGGATGGAGGGAGGGTGGAAACAGGCAGGGAATTTGGAAAAGAGACCCATGATCCTTCTCATTTCCTAGAGTAAGAACAAAACTAACTCAATAAAGGAGAAAATTAAGTTCTGAGTGCAGAGGAGAAGCAAGAGAGCATGGTGCTTGCTGACTTTGCTCCCAGGGCATCGTGAGGTTCCTTCGTGGCTGAGTGCAGAGGCCTTTGGGAATGGAGCTGAGCAGTATGGATCGGTTCCAAGACTCCCTCTGGAACAAAGCCCCCAGCACAGACATCCACCTCCTCATGAGAAGCCCCAGCCACTCCAGCAGGCAGCGAGAAGCAGAGCCCCGCGGCTCTGAGGTAGCCCCTGCCCCTGGGTCAGCAGCGTCCCCGCAGGCAGCGTCCCATGTGGGCACCTGCAGCTCTCCCGCAGAGCCAGGGTGGGGAGAAGGGGGCAATGCAGCTGCAGCTCATGGCTGGGATGGGGCATCCTCAAAGGTGATCAGGCTGCTCTCATGGCCAGCTGCCTTCCCAGCCACGCTGGCCTCGGGGAGCAGCGGGCCTTCACTTTTCACCACCACCTCCTCCTCCTCGTCCTCCATGCTGGGCCAGGCTGTCTGGTCTTCCACGCGCTTCAGCCGCTCGTTCAGCGCCTTCAAGGCCAGCTGCCTGCAGAGCAAAGGTGGGTGAAGGCTGGTGTGAGGGGACTTTGAAATGCGTTACCGCTTTGCCCCGCTCCTCTTGCCCCACATGCAGCTGGAACCAGTCATGCTGCGGTTCTGACCAGCACCAAGGATCCCTGCCATGCCCATGCTGCTTGAGCAGGTGCTGTACTGAAGACAATGAAGCCAAACAGAGCCACCTCTGCTCTGAGATGCACAGTTCCCTTCCCATGCAGTGCATTTGGCTGCTGTTGGCTCACATGGGAACCACTCTAAGAACTGTACAGGAACAGTGAGCTGGTGCCTTGCCCCATGACCGAAGCACGGTTGCACATGCAGGGAGGGCTCGGTCACCGTGCTGATCAGCTCTCACTATGCCAGGTGACAGCACTGCCATGGGAACCACGTCTCCCCTCCCTGACCCCTCTCCAGGCCTCCCACTCATCCCCGGTACTTTGGCTCTACCCTGGAAAGCGAGGGTGGTGTCCTCCCGCCCCAGCTGCACTCCCAGCACTTCACCAGTGAGTGGGCAATGGCAACGGACAAGTGCCAGCTGCTGAGCCCCCAGAGAAGGCTCCCTTCAGCGCCCCGAGCCTCCAACCCCCACATTAAGAGCTCCACCGGCCAACATACGCCGGGCAGAGCGGGGTGAGCGGTACCTTCTCCTCTCGGCATCCTGTGGGTCCGTTCCCGGGAGGCTGATGGTGATGGAGGACGGTGCGCCCACATCATAGCGCTTCACCGTCTTCCGGCAGAGCCGCACCTTCACCAGAAGTGTGTGCACCAGGTTGGCCGCCAGCCCCACCGCAGGCTGCAGGATCTCAGGGAAGAATGTGGCAAAGGCGAAGTGGTCGGACATGTCTCCGCGGCCCCTACTGTGCCGCTGGTAGAAGCGGAGATAGACCCAGCTGGAGAGCAACCCAAAGCCGTAGGAGGCCAGCGCAGGGCTCTCGATGAGGGTGGCAAGCCGCAGCGCGGCCAGCAGCAGGAGCAGCAGCACGGGCACGGCCTTCATTCGCACCTGGGGCACCCTCAGCACGGTGCTGTCGCCCATGGTCTGCTTGAGGGCTACCAGCACGCCGGCCAGGAAGCCGAGCCCGCCGTGGATGTGCACGTCGAACAGGTAGGCCACGTGGAAGGTGGCGGCGTAGGTGAGGAAGTAGGCGGCGGCCCCCAGCAGCCCCACGGAGGCGTTGACCACGGCGAAGAAGACGAGCAGCTCCAGGGCCCCCCAGCGCGGCTCCAGCAGCCGCCCGGCCGCCACCACCGCGCCCAGGCTGAGCGCCACGCCGGCCGCCCGCCGCTCCACCAGCCCGTGCGTCAGCAGCGTCCATAGCCAGCAGCGGGGCAGGAACAGGAAGCCGGGCGTCACCGCCAGCCCGTAGGCCGTGTCCAGCGCGAAGGACAGCGCGTACAGCAGCAGCACGGCGCCGCTCACCGCCTTCACCACCACGCTGGTGCCGCCCAGCGCCGCCACGCAGTGCTGCCGGGCCACCGGCAGGTACCGCCGCATCTTCGGGCCCGGCCCGCCGCGGGGAGGAGGCCGACGGGGCCCCGAGCTCCGGGCCTACCCCCGGAGGGGCGGGGCCGGGCCCCCTCGCGGCTCCCCCCGCCGGACCCTGCCCCCGCCCGCGCTCGCCGGCCCCGACCCCCGCGCCGCACGTCCCCTCTTGGGCCGCGCCGCTAGGCCAGGCCGGGCGCGGACAAACAGCGCTGCGCGCATGCGCCGCGGGGGGGCGGGGCCTGCGCGCGAGCGGCGTGGACGGAGCGGAGGGGCGGGGCCTGCAGCTGGAGGGCGGGGCCAATTGGTGTGGGGGCGGGGCCAGGGAGGGGAGGGGCAGCCCCGCCCCGCGCGGCATCTGCCGTGAGCGGGGACACGTGGGAGGTGTAGGGACGGGCCCGTGGGCGCCGGCATGGGAGTCACAGACGTGAGGGACGCTGGCGCGGTGAGGACGTGGAAATGGGGGGCACAGACACTGGGGGCACGGATATCGGGGGCAGAATGTGGGGACTACGGACATGGGGCACGGATACAGGGGACACGGACACGAGGGGGCGGACATAGGAGACACGGACGTGAGAGGGACAGACACAGACACGTCAGCTCAGTCACGGAGGGGCCGCAGACGTCGGGATGCTGACAAGGAGAGGCTGTGGGCGCTGAGGGCACGGATGCTGTGGGACAGGGGTTGCGGGATGTAGGGTTGGTGGTTCAGGGGGCAGATCTGGGAGATGTGGGTGTGAGGGCACAGTGTGAGCCGGGGACGCTCAGTGGGCACTGGTGGGAGCCACACAGGGGACGAAGACACACAGGGGCATTGTGGGGTTATGTAGCATGGGACAGTCACAGGGCACTCGGGAACATGGACATGGAGACACGTTCATCAGGGGACACAGGGAATAAAGGGACGCAGGGACAGGGCAGCCTGGGGCTGGGGATGTGGGCTGCATGGGCCCACCCGTGTCTTGCCCGTGTCCCCCGGCACAGCCCAGCCAAAGGGAGCAAGCCAACATCCTTCCCCTCTCCCCCCCCCCCCCCATCCCCTGGGAAATGATGCAGCCACCACCTGTGAAGTGAAAATATGAACATTATTTAATAACTGAGTCTCTGTAATAAACCATTTGAAAATATTTTACAAGGAGTCACACGCACAATATCTTACAAATTGTCGTTTTGTTGGTTTTTGAAGTTTTCCAACTCTTCTGTACAAAAAGAAATGAACAAATTAAAAATAAATTAAATTAAACCAATTAAAAACCCAAAGCCTTTGAATGAGCAGAGAGAAGCTTTCGGGGTGGGAAGGGGCGGACACGGCGCTGGTGGGGCAGGGGGCCGGGGCTGCGCCGTCCCTTCGTCTCTTGGTTTTAACTTAAAATAGACTATATATGTATATATTTATAGTTCTGTATAGTGGCGGTTTCTCGCAGAGCACCTAACTAGACTACAGCAGTACACACACTCCTGGTAACACAGAGCCATCTGTTCAAACACGGTTCCCAGAGACAGTAACCAAACACACACTGACTGAGAAAGCTACAAGCAGAATGACCATTAATTAACCCCAGCGCTTATCAGCGCCTCCCCAGCCCCTCCGGCTGGCCTGCTGCCCGCTCCTGTCCCCCCAAATGCCGGTGGGGCCGGGGCTGGGGACAGCCAGCGAGGAGCTGACAGCACCTGGCACTTGGCACGGCCCTGCTGGGGACACAGGGCTGGGGACAGGTGGCACGTCCCGTCAGGAGACACACGGTGTGTCCCGTTTGGGGACAGGCAGCACGTCCTGTCTGGGGACATATGGCACATCCTGTCTGGGGACAAGTGGCATGTCCTCTCTGGGGACACACTGTGCATCCCATCTGGGGACACTCAGCGCTTCCCACTTGGGGACACACGGTGCATCCCATTTGAGGACACACTGCATGTCCCATTTGGAGATGCTTAGTGCATCCTGTCTGGGGACACAAAACACGTCCTCTCTGGGGACACACAGTGCATGCCATCTGAGGACATATGGCATTTCCCATATGGGGACACTCACTGCTTCCCGTGTGGGGGCACATGGTGCATCCCATTTGGGGACACATGGCATGTCCCATTTGGGGACACTCAGAGTGTCCCATGTGGGGACACATGTCCTGCCCTGTCCCGCTGGCTGGTGCGCGGTTTCTTTTGCAGGGCAGGACAGAGGGGCCAAGCAGAGCTGGGGCAGGCAGATGGGAAAGGTTTCACAGTGATCTGCAGAACAGAAAAGAAAAAAAAATACGATTTTTGTCTTTTTTTTTTTTTTTTTTTTTCCCTCCTTTTCACCCCAATATCTGTGCCCAAGACACACGAATGAGAGCGGATGAGCTGAGGGTGGGGACCATGGGCTTGGTCCTGTCCCGGTGAAGGCGACACCTGGCTCCCCGCACCGAGCCCCGGGCTGCAGGGACACTGCAACCACTGTCCTCCTGCACCCTGGGGGCCGGCATCCCCGTGACCATACTGAGCAGGACAGGCAGGCCAACTTCTCTTCCCTTCTTTTTTTTTTTGTGTGTAATTTTTTTCCCCTTTTAGCCCACGTGTCTTTGTCACTGACAACACGCACCATCGTTCTCCAGGCTGAACTAGATGTAGAAAGATCTGGTTTAAAATCTTGAGGCTAAAAAAATAGGCGAGGGGGAAGGGGGGGCTGCAGCGGTGGGGGGCAGACAGGGGGGGCTTTCGGAGTCCAAGTGGCCGGGGGGGAGCCGGACGCCGTCCCGGCTGGGGGGGCCCCTGCCCACACCCCAGCTCTTCTTTGGATGTGGCCGTGGGGAGCGCGGCCCCGAGGCCGTGGGGCTGTGGGGGGGTTGCTCCCATCCCACCGGGCCTTGGAAAGGGAATGGAGATGGAGGCTGAGAGAACAGGAGGGTGGCGGGCGTGGGTTAAAGGCAGGCGGCCGGGGGCAGCGGGTGCCGGCTGGTGCTGGCGTAGAGGAGCAGCAACTGCAGGGAGAGCAGGACCCCGAGGGAGGGGGTGAAGGATGCCCCTCGGCCGCAGTCTGAGGTATCTTCCTGGGGGGGCAAAGGGAGAGCAGACATGGGGCACTCACAGAGCCAACAGCACGCCGCAGGGGGATACGGTGTGATCCGCCCCTGCGCCCCCACATAACGATGCTCCCCTGGGCCCCCCATGGTGATGCCCCCTCCCTTAGGCACCCTATGGCTCTGGATCCCCCAGAGGGAAATCTCATGGCTCTGATCTCCCCCAGAGAGGCCCCCAAAGCTCTGTCCCCACCCTTCCCAGGAGGGCACCCCAAGGCTTTGCCCCCCCTCCAGGGGGATTCCCCCCCTCTGATCCCTTTCAGCCCCTCCCCCAGCTCCGTGCTCCCTCAGCCCCTCACGTACTGTTGCATTGTAGTCAAAGCAGATGTGGGGGCCTTTCCGGTAGCGGGGCCTGTCCACCAGCTCACACTGGTTCGGGTCTCTCGGGGGAGCTTAGTGGGTCAAGGAAACGACGGGGACCAGTGTGGCAGGGGAACACGGCGCACCTCAAGGTCCTCATGGTGCCCCATGGCCATGAGGCAGCTCCCCCTGCCCTGCCCACCCCTTGCCCCGTTGTCCCTGTGCCACCTGCAGGGATGGCACCGTGTCTCCAAAGGATACCCCTGACCTCAGCCTGCAGCAGCTTGACGGACTCGCATTGGCTGCACAGGGGCTTGTCAGCCACCACGAAGAGCAGGTTGGTGTTGGCCAGCCTCTGCGCGTGGAACAGCCTGGAGGACGCACGGGTGGCGTTGGCCTTGTGTCACCATCCCCCCCTGAGGCCCACGGGGACACCGCCAGGATGTAGGGGACAGACCCACCTGGAGCAGTTCCCGCAGTCGATGATGGCGTTGTAAGTGGCGTTGACGGTGCTGAAGTAGTACTGCGTCTGCTTCATGATGCAGCTCGTCTCCCTCGCCTCCATGCCTTCTGCCATGACGTCCTCTGCATTGACACAGTGTCCCGTGGCTGTGGGTGTCCAGTGAGGGGACATCACCCATCCACCCACCCCTGGGACCAAGGTGGCTCTCACCTGTCTGGAACCAGCTGCTGTAGGTGAGGCTGTAGAGGAACTGCTGGAAGAGGGACCTGGAGATGGGAACGTGGCTGTGTGAGCTGTGCATCCCTGAGAACACACTGGTGTCACCCAGTGGTGCCCCAGACAAGGGATGAGGCACAGATGGCGCTCACAGAATCATGGAATCATTTTGATTGGAAGTGATCCCTTAAGTCATCAAGTCCAACTGTTGGCACAGCTCTGCCAAATTCACAGCTAAGCCAACACGTCCCCAAACACCACATCCACATCTCTTTGATGCCTCCAGGGCGCTGACGCCAACCACCTCCCTGGACAGCCTGTCCCAGGGCTTCACAACCCTTTCTGTAAAGACATTTTTGCTGATGTCCAAACTAAACTTCCCCTGGCACAGCTCCAGGCCATCCCCTCTCATCCTACACCCGTTGCTTGGCAGAAGAGATCAACTCCATCTCGTCACAGCCTCCTTTGAAGTCATTGCAGAGGGTGATGAGGTCTTCTTGAGCCTCCTCCTCCCCATGCTAAACGATCCCAGTTCCCCCAGACTCTCTCCACTTAGATTTGTTCTCTAGGCACTTCCCCAGCTTCATTGCTCTCCCTTGGACGCCCTCCAGCACCCCAACGTCCTTCTTGCCATGCGGGGCCCAGAACTCACCAGGCTGCCGCTGAGGTCCACCAGGCCAGGTTCAGCAGGTCGGCCACGGTGGGCTGTGGGAAGAGGGGTGGTGAGGTGGTGGGACCCATGAATGATGCCGGCACAGCCATGGGTCGAAGGGCACTCACCACAAAGACACCACGTGGTGCAGCACCCGTGTTGCTCTGGGCCTCGGGGGCACAGACGGACTGGAAGTCGTAGGACTCCTTGCGGGCATAGAAGGAGTTGTTGTAGAGGGCAGACATCAGGTTGGCGTCCACCTCGCTGAAGAACTTGCCCACCTGAAGCGGGACATCGGAACAGTCTGCATCCAGTGGCACAGAGCAGAGCTTGCTTCGGGGTCTGCTGTGGCAGGGACTCAAGCGGGGATGCATAATGTCACGTGTGACATGAATTTAGAAGCCTCAGCTCCCTGCTGCCATCAGGACTGCAGCATTCTGGGGATTGCACTGCTCACCTGGTACCAGTGATCCTCCTGGTTGGAGAGCACCAGGAAGCCACCGTCATCAATGAGGACGCAGATGAGGTCCTGGCAAAAGAGGGCAGCGTCACCCACCTGCCTTGTCCTCCGTAGGCAGGGCGTGAGGGACTGCCAGCACCACCCTCACTCACCCCTCACCTGGGGGCTTCTTCCCCATGGGATTGCCTGAGGCTAGGGACTAGGGACTAGGCACCACCCAACCCTGCTCAACACTCACCTTGTTGTTGGCCTCGCAGTCCATCTCACAGCTGCTCGAGGGGTCACACTGTCAACCAAAATGGTGGCAGGGTCAGTGGCACCGTCCTTCCCCGCTCAGGGGAGGATGTGCCCCCGCTGGGCTGGAAACTGGTGCCATGTATTGGGTATGGGGCCGGAGCTGCAGGCCATTGGGGACATGGGCAGCAGCGCCCAGGAGTGCTCCCCAGTCATGTTCCTGGTAAGCAGAGCCCTGTCCCCATCCCCAGCCCTGTCCCCAGCATACCCGGCGGGAGCCTAGCTGGTCACGGTCTGTTCGGTTGCTTGCCAGAACCTTGAACTTCTCCGCCCAGGCCTCCAGGTCCAGCTTCACCCCGACCACTTGGGGAGAGGAGCCGCAGTCAGAGGGGGGAAGGGCTCAGCCCTGGCTCTGGAGGGATGGGGACATCCCCAGCCCAGTGGTACTGTCACCCAGCCCCTGCACACCTGCTGGCTTCAGTGTCTTGCCCCCGATGCTGAGCTCCACAGCAGTGCTCACCAGGATCCCAATTGTGTTGTTCTCCAAATCCAGCCCCTGGTAGCCACCTGTGGAGGACAGGGGTGGCACGAGGTGGCACACGGAGACAGCCAGGGCACACCTGCAGTGCTTTGCAGGCACTCACCATCCCTGTAGGGTGGTTTGAATATGTAGCCCTTGTTATCCAGGCTCCTGCGGTAGAAGCTGGCATTGAAGGGCTCCGGCTCCTCCTCCCAGTCATCTGCAGCTCTGGAAGGGAGCAGACACAGCCATGGGTGCCCCTTGTCCCCAGCTCTGCCATCGGATCTGCCACCACAAGGAACCAGGCATGGGCACCCCACCAGAACACTCACTTGTTTGGGAAGACACGGGTGATGCCACCATCTGTGGCTGCGAAGACAGCCAGGAGACTGTACCTGCAGGGAGAGGGGGGGATGTAGAGGCGGGGCTTCGTTGTGTCCCTGTCCCCTGTCCCAGCCACTCAATGTCCCCCACCCCCTCTGTCCCCACATCCCCAGGGACAGCTACAGGGAAGGGTCCTCTGTCCCCTGCCTACGTGTTGAGGTCCTGGTCCTTCCAGACGCGCTCCACCAGCTGCTGTGTGATGCCTGTGTCCAGGATTAGGTTGTGCAGGAGGAAATTGTCACCTTGGGAGAGGAGCAGCATGAGGTGAGGGCCGGAACCTGTGGGGCTGCTCGTGCCCCATGACCTGCATCCCCCCCGTGAGCTGACCCCAGCTACTCACACTGCTTGGAGTCTGGGGTCACCTTTTCCATGAGGGCAATAAAGTTCTCCAGGAACTCGGTGTTGTTATCTGACAAGTCGAGGTCTTTGCAATACTCTCTGGGATTTGGGTGACAAAATGTGTGGTTCACAAGGATGAAAAAGGTAAGATCAGTTTTCCCCCCATGCCAGTCGTGCTCATGTCCCCTCACCTGCTGGGCTCCAGCCAGGTGCCCACGGCCCCATGCCACCTCCTCACCCCAAACCCAGCATGGCAGTGAAGAGCGAGCTGTGCTGGGCAGTGGGCATCTCCACCACCTGTGGTACCTCTGGCTCCAACACCTCTGCAGCCACTGAGGTGCCACCAATGTGCTGTTACCTCGTTGGTATAAACTGGTGCACCCCGTGCCCTATTCTCTCCATTCTGGTGGCACTGAGTGCTGTTGCAGCCACCAAGCTACATGTCCCCATCCGTACCCGCTGGCAGTGGTACTTACCTTGGGCACATGCTGGGGACCCTGGAGACAGGGACGGTGATGCTGTGCCCACCCTGCTGGATACACCCTGGGTCTGGTTGCTAGGCATTACTGGGGTGAGGGCTGCCTTGGGACCCTTTCCACAGGGCCACCGTGTCCCCTCTCGGGGGAGCAACCATCTGCACAACCGCGCGGATGCACACGGGTACACGGATGGCACGCCCACAGGGAGAATATGGGATATACGGTTTCTGAAAATGACTGGTGGCACATCCTATGGGTGCCTGCTGAACAGGAGGGGGCTCGGGGAGCTGCTCCATGGCCCAGAGCGCTCACCCCACTTTTCGTCACCCAAAGCTCCACAGCTCCAGCTGCAAAAGCTGCGTCCCCCTGCTGCGTCCTGAGTCAATGCTCCCTAGCTAAGGCAGGGCAGCTTGAGGCAGAGCCGCTCCTCCCACTCCATTCTCCACCCCTATCCTGATCACACCATGGGCAGCTTCTTAGTTATAGGATTTATGCATTTCTTGCTGAGATTCTGCTTTGGCTTCCATGGTTCTCAGGCCTTACTGCCCCTGCACATCGCCTGAGGACGAAGGACAGTCCCAAAGTCACCTCTGATGCTGTGCTGCAGGCACCCTTGGATCGACCTGCCGAATGCAAATTGCAATGATGAAGACCCCACCAGCAGGCTGCTTGGCTGCAGCACCGGTGCACGAGCACATAGATGATCTGCCAGAGGTGTTAATGAGGAATGCTCATGGGTTGCATTCTGCAGCCACAAAGGATGGGGTGCTGGGTGTCTGCACACCCTGCCTGGTGCCCTCTGCTGACTGTGATGCAGGTGGAGGGCCACGTCTGTCTGTCCGTCCGTCTGTTCATCTCGGATTTTCAGAAACTATACCTATATATGCACGTGCATAGGCAGGGCCACGCCACGTCCATATATACCGCGCTGACCGCAAGCCCCCGGGGGGGACCTGTGCCACCATCACCGTGCGGCACGCGGGCACACAACACAGAGCGGCAGGGGAGGTAGGCAAGGCGAGGTGGGAGCAGCGGGGCCGGGGGGATGCACACCTCGGCAAGCGCACACACAGAGCTACCTGGGAGCAATGAACACATGTCCCTCCGACTCAAAGCTGTTGGGCAGCAGGTATTCAAAATCTGCAACAGAAAGGCGACGTTATCCAGTGGGGCTGCAAACGGAGATGCTGGGGGGCTCAGGAGGGAGAGAGACGGACAGAGAGAGGGCAGGGACAGAGACCGGCTGCGTTGGTAACAAGAGAGAAAGGAAAGCCGTCGTGCTGGCCGGAGGCCCCCGCGGCACGGAGTGCCCACCAACGCGCTGCCAGCATGGGGAGGATTTGGACCGAATTGGCGTCGGAGCATGGTTGGCTCGGTTGGCGGCACGCTGGGACGCGTGCACCACACGCATATATATGCGCGCGTGGATATATATGCATGTTTGGTGGCGTCTCTCTCTTATTAGGGTCATCGACAACGGGAGGAACCGCATGCTGTGCTCGTGGAGAACCGCCGAAACACTTGGTCATCGGAGAGAAAAGGAGTTTTCAGGCATCGGCATGGCCAAACCAGGCACCTTGACGAGGACAGTCCAACCCGCGGCTCGCCAGGGACAAGGGCCGAGCAATGCGCTGTGGGATCCTGCTGCAGGCCCCCCCATCCCTGGGGGGCCCAGCCGCAAGCCCTCGGCCACCCCGCTCCTATCTGGGGGGTCCTCGCTCCCGGGGATGTCCCCTAGGGGCAGCGGTGGATGCGTGTGTGGGGAAGTGACATCCCTGGTCCCCACGGTGTTCCCCCTCCCACAGCGCGTTGTGCGGCTGGGCAGTGAGGCGCGGCCAGAGGTTGGACTGTTGCTCTCCGAGGGCTGTAGGCAGGGACTGGGAACAAGCCGATGAGAGGAGGAGGAGGAGAGGAGCACAGAACGCTCGCACTGAGCCCATCCGCATTGCCATTGCAGGGGCAAGGAAGGAGGCAACTCAAGGCTGATGGGACAGGGCTGAGGGGGACACCGCTGCCCGCTGCCGCTCCCTGGCTCCCGGCCCCACTGTTCCCTCCCTGTCCTCCCACTGTGGCCATGTAGGTGCCGTATGATGTGGGTGTGCGTTTGGCAGGGATGTTGCCATGTCCCACCATGGATGACACCGGTGACAACCACCTGGCTGTGTGGGGTGACCGCCTGCAGACCCCGATGCCAGGACATCAAGCCCTGGGGTGAGAGCCGGTGCCTGGATGGGGCTGATGGCATCCCTGCAGGGCAGGGGACATGCAGCACGGTGACATCACAGCCCCAGAAAACCCATCCCAGGGGGCAAGGGAGCGGCGGTGAGGGCACCGCTGGGGTCCCTGGGCCCCGTCCCTCCACCCCACATCCCCAGCCCTGCTCTGTACAGCCCTATCCCGTTCAGGTTGAGTTGTCTTGAGGGGGGGGGAAGGAAGCAGAGGAGCTGGGTTTGGGGCGGGGAGAAGAGAGCCGGAGGGGTGAGAGCAAGGAGAGGGCAGCGAGAAGAGGGTTTGGCAGAGGAGGAGAGGGATCCCGGCTAGCTACTGAAAACCTCGTTCATCAAAAACGATTTTGGATGAGACCGGGCCTGGAGCAGTATCAGGTCGGATTTTAGAGAGATGTGCAGGAAGGGAGTGGGGTCACCGTGGGAAAGCTCTCATGAACATAACAAGACATGTCGCTTCCAAGTAACAGGGGGCTGGAGGAGTGGAGGAGGAGAGGACGAGGAGGAGGAGAAGGAGGTGGAGGAGAAGGAGGAAGAGGAGGAGAAGGCAGGGTCGTGGCGGTTTGCAGGTTCGGCAAACGGGCAGGGAAATGGGCAAGCAAGGAAGGTGGGAGCCGTGGAGGCAGGGCTGGGGCCGACACGGGGCGGGACGGGTGGTGAAGGTGAGTGGTCTGAGACTGAAAATACTTGCCCTTCATTTTGATGTTTGGTACTGTGTGAATCCACCATAGAGAGAAAGCAAGAAAAACAACAAACAAAAAAACAACAAACGAAAAAAAAGGGGGTTGGGTGGAAAGGGGGGAGGGGGCACAAACAATATTTTATTCAATCGCCGTTTGAATAAAAATATTGTGTATCATAATCATACCAAAAGGAAACCTCTTGCAAAAAACAACACGTAAAAGAAAAGGAAAAAAAAAAGTAAAGAAACAAAAAGGCCACAGTGAAATAATAAAAGATGCCGAGATATCACTAGAGAAATATATATATATATTCAGTACTCCAAAGGAAAATGCGAGTCAGCAGCAAACACTTGCAACAGTCTCGGTACAGCGATGCTCGCACTGCGGGGCATGCAGAACGGCGGGCAGGGGGCGGAGGTGGGGACCCCCCTCCCGGGGTCTGGGGGCTCCTGGCGGCCACAGGGGCCGAGGGCCGGGGGTGGGAGCTGGAGGCTGCGCCAGCCCCACTGTCGGGAGAGGGTGGGGGTCCAGGGGGGGGGGGGAGAGGGGGCCAGGCTAACACACAAGTACACGGATTCAACCGAAAGGAAAAAAATCGAAACCAACCGAAAGCGAACTCATTGAAACAATAAGAATGGTTGAAAGCAAAGAACTGTAATCAAACAAAGGAAATAAATAAACAAAAAAAGACCCATGCAAACTTTCACAGGCTTGGCAAATTCCCTGTGCTGCAGTGCTATCCTGGCCCCAGCAGTGCCAGCCACTCGGGTGCCACGTGCCAGCACCTGGCCCTGGCGCAGCTGGTCCTGCCTCGGGTGTGTGCGCTCACCTCCTCGCGCCTCTCGGGCTCGCTTTTTAGTTTGCTTTCCTCTCACAGCTATTCTCATCCCTTTTCTCATAGGGTTTGGCTTCGTTCTTTCCCCCCTGACAGCCGTATCTGGGGGGTGGGCAGGGGCAGAGGGTGTGCGGGGGTGCACGGAGGGGAAGGGGCTACTTACACTTCACTTGCAGGATCTGGTCACTGAGGTTGGCCTGGATGTAGTAGGTGCTGTAGGGGGGCAGGACCAGCCCCAGGCTGCGGGGGAAGAGCAGATGGGCAGCATAAGGCATCATGCAGCAGCCATGGGCATTGTGCGGGCATCCATGGGGCACCCAGGACAAACATGGGGCACCGAGAATTCCAGGGGCACTCATAGGCATCCTGGGGCATCCATAACCATCAGGGAGCACCCACTGGTATCCTGGGGCACCCAAGGCCACCATGGGGCATTCATGGCCACCATGGAACATCTGTGGCCATCAAGTGGCACCCAGGGCCACTCCAGGGCGCCGAGGGCCATTGTGGGGAACCCACGGCCATGACTGGGCAGATCACAGCCATCCTGGAGCACCCAGGGACATCCTGGCCTACCTGATGCCACCTTGGTGCACCTAAGGATGTTGCTAGAGCACCCGGGATTTCCCCATTGCCCCCAGGGCCATCTCCTGGGCAGAGGCAGGTGACAAGCCAGCCCAGCCGAGGTTGAGATCAGCACTGAGGGCAGCGAGTGCCTGCCTGGGTACCTGGGAGATGTGTGCAGAAGACAAACCAACTGTCCCCAAAGAGGGGGAGCCAAAAAGAGCTGTGACCCTCAAACGAAGGGTCAGAAGGTTCCCAGTGAGCGGAGAAAGGAGAAAACTCTTATATGGCCAGTGGCTCTGGGAGAATCCATGCACCAGGAGGGCTCGGCACATGAAAATGTGAGATGGGGGTGGGGAAGGAAGAGATGGGAGGTGGTCCTGGGGCTGCCGAACCCACGGAAGATGCTGTGGGAGTGTGCCAGGCTGGTGGGCTCTGGCTGCAGAGATGTGGTGGCATTTGGTGACAGCATTCACGCCCAGCGCCGAGCTGGGAGAGCGCCGTCTTCAAGGGTAGCACTTGGCGGTCCTGGAGGTCTTTTCCAGCCCAGAGGATTCTGTGGTTCTACAGATGTGGAGGAAGCTTTGCTCTCCATCTCCAAAGCAACATGTGCAATGACCTGGAGCGCACCTCTGCCACTCCCTGTCTGTGGGACACGCTCGAGGTGGCCTCGGAGACCTCTGGAGCTCCTCGCATGTGTCCCCATGCTGGCACAGGTCCCGCTGAGGCCGCTCACCTGTAGTTGGTGCTTTTGATGGGAGCCCACGTGTAGGTCCTGAACACCTCATCGATGTATTGCTGTTGGATGGGGGAGGTGGGTCAGGGCTCTGCATGCTGACACTGCCCCATGTGCCATGCCCCCTCCCTGCAGCATTACCTCATCCAACGACTTGATGAGTGTCTTGATGAACCTCTGCCCATCGTTCCCATCAATCATACTTCTCCGGATCTGGGGGACATGGAGAGGTGTGTGAGGGCAGTCTGGCTCCCGTGCCACCAAATATCACCTAGGGATGGTGACTGGTCCCCAGCGACAGCCCAGTGGTGCCAGCCTACATTGCCGTGCCCCAGTCCTGCCCACCTCCTCCTTGTTCTCATCCTCCAGCTCGGCGTCCAGGAAGTCCAGCGTCACTGGCTCACGGAAATTGATGATCTGTTGGCGGAGGGGGAGGGCTTAGGAAGTGCTCAGGGCTCCCGCAGACATTGCTGAGCACAAACAAACTCATCACAGTCCCCCACCCACAATGGGACAGAGCGGCTGCCGTCACCTGACGGGCATCCTGTTAGCATGGAGATGGGTGGAGTGTGACATAGCTGCCAAAGAGACAAATGGGCCCTGGCGGTGCAGTTCCTCACCACTTCGTCCTCGCTCGCTGCCCAGTGATGAATTCCCACAATTAGCTCCTCTGCAGGAGCTGGCTCTCCTGGACAAATGAGCCTCTTTGCCCAAGATCCCTGGGAATTCCTATTTCTCCTGGGTCATGGCAAAATCCTACACACTGCTGTCAGGAGGGTGGTGGGAGCTTCCCACATGCTATGCCTCCTGGCCACGGTGTCCCCCAGGGGCAGAGGTGTGGTCCTAGCCAGGGGCACACCCGCTCACCTGGGGCTGCAGGTTGGGGTGCAGCAGCACGTAGCCGTTCAAGTCAATGGCGAAGACGTAGCCATTGGCTCCCAGCTGTGGGGGGACATGAGGAGGGGTGAGCTGTGCCGATCCGTGGTGAGCCCATGCCACCCCTGAGCCCAGCCTCTGCAGGCTCCCAGCCTCCCCCAGGGTTCATTTTTCCTCTCCAACCCCCAAAGTTCAGCTCCCCCTTTTGTGGAGCCCTGGAATGGGAAGCATGCAGGTGCAACGGAACCCAGCCATTTTCTTCTCTCCTTGACTATGAATTTTGTATTCTGAACCACTGCCCATTGTTTCTGCAATTGTCTCTGCTCTGTGCTCCCAGGTGCAACATGCCCACGACCACAGGCTATGCCACCCTGCTGGAGGTGCCCAGGCCATGCTCAGTACTTCAGTGTGGCACCAGGACCCTGGGGCAGGGGCAGACGGGACAAAAGCTCCCCACGCACATTGTATCTTGGTGTCAGCTTCTTGATGTCGTTCAGTGCCACATCGATCCCCATCACACCCAGGATGAGCTGGTTCTGGAAGGCAGCACAAGGCAGCAGAATCAGTGGGTGCACCCACACCAAGCCCTTCAGGCAGCACTCACGGGTGCTCACGGGAGCTGTGCTCACCCTCTGGCTCCACAGAGGGGTCAGGACCCCAGGAGTGCTCCTACCTTCCTGTCACTGTTGTCCTCTGTCAGGTTGAACACAGGCAGCGTGCCCGTCACCACCAGCCCCAGCCCCTGTAGCAGCACAGGAGGTGTCACCCAGCCTTGTGGTGGCACCTGGCTGTCACACCACACCGGGGCTGTGCCAGGTGGGCATCCTTACCAGAGCATCCTGGTAGACGTTGGTCCACTGCACCTGCTTGGCACGGTTCCCAGCCAGCACCATGGGCCTGCCCAGCACATCCAGGTACTCCTGCAGGGACAGGGGCAGGGACAGTGAGACACGGGGCACAGACACCTCCTGCATGCTCCTGTCCTCTGCACGTGCAGGATGGAATCCCAAAGTGGGGCCACAGAGGTGCAAGCATGGCATCTCACAGGGAACAGCTCTCCCCAAGGGTACATGGCAACAGCCCATACGGTGAGGGAAAGGGGCAGGGGGTACTGCACAGGACGTATTCCAACAGCACACAGTGTTTTGGGGCCGGGCAGCTTTTTGGTGTGCCCCAGAGGGCAGCTTTGCCTGCTGCTGTGTATTAGCACCCCGCCTCACCTGTGTGTTGATGCGGATGGCACCAATAGAGGGGATTTCGAAGTAGTAACCTCGGAAAGGAAAGAGAGATGCAGGTAGAGAGCCAGCATTCTGCAGCATCTGTCCCACTGCCTGCCCATGCTGCCAGCACCACTGCCGGCCCCCAGGTGCCAGGTGACCCCACATCCCAGGGGGTGGTTCAGCCACGCGTGCCCAGCCCCTGCTCACCTTTGTTGGCACATGCCATCCACTGCAGCGGGGTCACGTCATAGTTGTGCTGCCCCACAGAGAAGGTAAAGACACGCACCTGCGGCACAGCGTGGCTGTCAGGGCACATGGCAGCACTGGGATCCTGCTGCAGGGCCCCAAGCTTGTCCTGTGACCCCATCCCCATGGTGCTCAGAGCCTGCCAGCCCCTGCCCATCCTCGTTGCCAGGCAGTGGGGAGCGCTCACCGTCTTATTGGGCCAGTTGTACTTCTCAAAGACATCCTGCACCCGGTCCTCACCACCGTCCGTGAACATCATGATCATCTTGTTGCAGTTGGCACGCGTGATGTTGGACTGCGAGGCAGAGTGTGAGTTGAGAGACGGCGCACAGGGAGAGGGATGCTAAACCCCAGCACCCATGGGTGCCTCTCAGAGAGCCCCCAGCACCCATGGGCACAGCCTTGGCTCACATTCTGCAGCTGGTCGAAGGCATACTCGAAGCCAGCCTTGTAGTCAGTCGTGCCCTTGGCCACCATGCCCTGCACATCCTCCTTGAAGACCTTCTTGTTGCGGATGTTGGCCTGCACCAGATGCTTGAAGCATGACACCGGCTTTGCCTTTTCGTTGAACTGGGAGGGAGAAGAGAGAGTGGAGGGTCTTGGGAAGGAGAGCCAAAAGCAGCCCCAGCAACACATCTGTTCATTGCAGGGGATTTGGATCAGATAATCCAACTCAAATGATTCCATGAGTCTACAGTTCTGTGATTCCATGACTCTATGTTTCCATGATTCCGCAGTTTCATGATTCTATGGTTTAGTGATTCCATGATTCTATGATTCCATGACTCTGTGGTCCTAAACTCACGAGCTGGAGCATGTCCCAGCAGTACAGGGACACTGGGGAACTGGGGACACTGGAGTGATCTCAACCTGAGTGTGCTCACCCGGCACTTCAGGAAATCAGTTTGCTGTTTTAGAGACTAGATTTCTGGCTTTTCCAGTCCACACAGCACATCCTTGGCCAGCACTCTGCTTATGGTGGGTCAATGGGCACATCCTGCTGCCTCTGCAGCGTGCTGCATAGCAGCAAGTGAGCAGGGAATGAAGGGTGATGGAACAAACCCTGTAATTGGCATTCTGGTACGTGTCTGGGGCATCTGGGTATGGGTGAGGGAACACGTGGTGCCGAGCTGAGCTGAGCTGAGCTGAGCCGAGCTGAGCTGAGCCATGCTGCATAGAGGCAGCAAGAGCAGGTGCTGCCTTCTGCTTCTGCTCCGTTTCCTGGCAGCAGGGACCGCATTAGGGGAGCAGTGATGCGGTAGAGGGGCCAGACATGCTAACGAGCATCGACGTGGTCACGGCTGGGGGGGGGGGGGGCAGAAGCTGCTGGCAGCACAGCTCGTCTCCAGCACGGCCACCACACTGCACTATGTCATGGGCTAGTGGCACTGTTATGCAAGCCAAAGCTATTGTCCACCAGTAACCCATGGCTCCCTCTGACTTTGCTTGGGGCAACCCCAAGCGGCTCAGCATTGTTGGGCTGATAGCCACCATGCCCCCAGCACTCCCCAGAGATCCAGGACCCCTGAGGAGCATGGGGCAGGGCTCAGCCAGGCAGGGCTGGATCCCTACGGCTCTCCTTGAGCCGGCCTTGAGCTGCCCAGCAGCTGCCAGCAGCACCATTTCAGGATTCCTTGTAAAAGAAAAGAGCAGGGCTCACTGAGGCCACGTTGACGTAGTCATCATCCGAGAGCGTGTCCAGCATCTCGTGGACCGAGGTCTTCATCAGCTTGAGGGTGAGGCCGCTCACACTGCCGCTCCTGCCACAGAGAGGGGAGTGGGTACTTGGCATGGGGAGGGGGAGTGTGGGGTGCCCACTGCCCGCCCGCTCTACTCACACATCCACGATGATGACCATGTCCTTTGGGGATGAAGCACCCTGGATGTACCTGTGGGGCACAGAGTGGGGTCAGTGTGTGGCAGGAGCTGTGCTGGGGGTCCCTAGCCCTGCTGATGCTGTGGCCCCACCAGGTGGGCATGCAGAGAGGCACGGCCAACTCGCCGCCGCATCAGCTTAACGAGCTCTAAATGCTAAACTCCTCCATCATCGCAGCCCTTTTCTGCACGCTGATTGTGCTGACACATGCATCCATATTAAAATGCTATTTACCCCCCTGGAAGCTTCAAAGGCCAGGCTGATGAGGTTATTTTTAGCTCTGAAATAATAACGGCGTGGAAATCATCCTCCCACCCCCCAAACAATCAGGAGCGCTTTCTCACCCCATGGATGCACCCAGGCTGTGCAGAGGCGTCTGGCTTGGCCCCAGCCCTGTGGCACTGTCCTACAGAGCATAGGGATAGCTCTCCCCCTGCCCCAACCCAACCCAGCACTGCTGTCGGGCCGGGGGCTCGGCTTGTTCCCCCCGCCTGCTTCCTGGGAACTGAGATGCTGTCTGTAATGGGTTGTGGCACCGCATTTGTCTCCAGTGTCCCACTCAGATTAATACCCAGAGCTCTGCAGGAAAAGGCTTTATTTAATAGGGCCATTTGTCAAGGAGGGGAAGGAAAGCGAGCGGCACTGGCAGCCGTTGCCATCCGGTGGCTCTGCCTGTCCCTGGAGAGGCTGGTGGCACAGCTGGGACAAGGGGACCCAATGTGCCCCACAGGGGGCTCTGGGGATGGAGCTGCCGGGGATGCTGGGGCACAGGTGGGTATCATCAGTGGAGCAGTGTTAATTGGCATTGCCAAATGAGCACGTCTACCTGGGCTAATGGGGAGTGACTCCATCATACCCAGTGCAGCATGTGGCTCAATGCAGCCTGCAGCCAGCACTTAGGCACCACAGTGCTGGCACTGCCTCTGCTGTCCTTCTGGTTCCCTGTTTGCTGCAGGAACGCTATGTGGGATCGGTGAGGGGCACCTCTCCCTACACCATTGAGATCTGAGGGCTTATCTCCACCCCCCACCCCCCACCTCCCCAGTGCTGGAGGAGGGGAGGGAGCGGGAGCTGAAAGCCGCAGCCTGGCTGCCCCTGCCTGTGTTATTGTATCCATTTTCCAACGCCAACGATGTGTGAAATGAAAATTGGACAGAGCTGGCTGCTCACAGCACCGAAGCGCGGCGTGCCGGGGGCAGCGGGGAGGGGGCACAGGGGACAGGGGCCCTCGCTGTCCCCCCCTCAGCCACTGCCCCCTTACCAGGGCCGTCTGCGCACGTCGTACAGGTCGATCTTATTGGGTGCTCTCCATGGGGTGGCTGTGGGGAAAGGCGAGCGTTGAGCAAGGGGGACCTGGGGACAGGGGACCTGGGGCAGGGGGCTGCCCACATCACACACCAGGATAGTAGCGGGTGACGCCGGTGGCGCTGCCGAAGACCTGCCAGAGCAGGGAGGGATCTTCCTTGCGGTTCTCAATGAAAACGTCCTCCAGTGCCTGCGTCCAGTTCAGCTCGTTGAGGATCACGGTGGCTGCAAGGCACAGACCGGGCGGTGGTGGGGACGCAGGGGACAGCGGGCACATGGCACACCATCTCCCTTCTACCCCTTCCCCAGGAGCCTCGTGGGGCCAGGCTGCACCAGGCCCTGCTCTGTGCTCCCGCTGTCCCCCGCACCTGACGCTGAAGCAATTAAGATGCCGTCAAACAGAGGTTTTAAATTATTCAGCTATTAAAGCAGCAGATAAGCTTCCGGCAGCCTCAGCCCACAGTTACTCAAATGGGGCCGACAGCATGCGGGGACAGCGGCACGTCCCCATGGGCATGGGGCTCCTCCTGGAACCCTGATGGCTGTGGGGCCCTGCGGTGCACCAACACAGCCAGGAAACCCCCTGTCCCCTTGGTGACAGTGAGGACTGCCACCACTGGGTGACGTGTCCCTAAGCCTTGCCTTGGGGCAGCACAGGGCTCAGCACTCTGGCGTGCAGCAGTGTGTCCCCGTCCCACCTCGCCCTCATCCCCATCCCCTCCCCACCAGCAACTGATTGCAGCTTTAATTAAAAGTGGCACTGTAAATAAAACACATATAGGATATCATTTGCATGTGTAGCCAGGGGTGACGGCAGAGGGTGGCTCTGCAGGGTTTTAATCAGTGCATGGGGATGTGCTCTCAGGACTGTCCCCAGCCCGGTCCCCAGCAGGGTGGTGGCTGTGCTCCCGCATGGCACCAGCACTGCATTGGGGTTTGGAGTGAAGAATGCTTCCCCTAGCCCACTCTGCCTCCCCTCACTCTTATCATTTGTCTCATGAGCCGCTTGGCCTGTGCTGTCTGGGTAATAAAACTAATTGCAATTTCTAATCCAGAGATGCTGATGTGGTGAAATTGCTCCGGCAACATGGCTCTGAGTGTGCGAGACAGGAGCATGAGCTCTGTCCTTGTCACCTTGCCCAGGAACTCTTGCCAAGTGCCAGTGAGTGAGAGCGTAGGGGGTGCGGGGCCATGTGGGGGTCGTGTTCCTCAGCAGCAGTGCCTGGGCTGGGCGCAGTGCACGGATGGAATCAGGCAGGGAGCAGCTCCCGCTCTGTGCAGAGCAGCCACTAGAGGGAAATGCAGACCGGCCGTCACCATGTGTCAGAGGGACTGTCGCTGCGTGCAGCTGAGCCGGGAGAGCTGGGAGAGCTCTCGCTGCTCAGGAACTGTCACCTCTCTAAAGTGGACATGTCAGCCTGGCCCAGATCCACAAGCTGGTGTGGCACATCCTGCTCTTCCACCACACACACCATTGTTCATCTATCTGTTCATCCATCCACCTGTCCACCCTTCTGTTCACCCACCCACCTGTCCACCCTTCTGTTCACCCACCCATCCATCTATACATCCGTCCATCCGTCCATCCATCCATCCACCCACCCATCCATCAATCCACCTATCTGTCCATCCGTCCTTCCATCCATCCATCCATCCATCCATCCATCCATCCATCCATCCATCC